AGAAATAAAACAGGTCAAAGCTTTTGAAAAAGAGAATAGTTATAGCCTCTTCCTTCCCACAGCTTGCCAGAGGGAAGTACATTTGGCGAACACAGTCTCTTGCTTTTTTCCTACTCTGCTAGAGAGGAGAGATTGTCTTGCTGAAAGAGACAGCAGAAAAATAAAGTAATGAGAGAGGTGGAGAATAGAAGAAAGTAGGAAGAAACCCATACAAACTCTAAATAAGAAGGGAGCTTTTGGTCAGGTGGACTGAGGAATAATGTCTGAGTTAGGCATGAAGTGAGGAAGAAGATCATAGCGGAAAGATTATAATAGGCATTGCCGTGGATTTTAGATTCTTTTTAATGCCCTTTGAAGGATGTAAATAAGGAATTTGATTGTTCCTTAATTGATTTTGACCTTTGAGCTAGGCTTGCCCCTGTGCACATTTAAAGCCACATGCTTATTCAGATGTATTAGGGTTACAGTAGCATTTATTAATGTGTAATTATGTTTCTGCAACTGTTTGAGTCATGACTCTGCCTTCCTAAGGCAGTCATGAAAGAAGGAAATAGGTCAGTTTAAGACTCAACTATATGCCCAGCCCTTAGCATAGCACTTGACTTACAAAGCAGATATTCAGTAAAATGTGTGGAATGAAATAAATGCTTTAAAGAAGGCCGTGCTTGCCTAGTTCTCACTCATTTCTCCTTGCTTTCCTGCAGCAATCTAATCCACATCTGTGTTCTTGAACGAGTCACCTCCAACAGGTCTTCCTTTTTATTGACATTTCATCACCATCTTTGTAAAATGCTGAATTCTCTTTACAGGATAACTCATGGCACAAGCTATTTCCTGCTGAAGGTGAATTATCAGGCCTGTAGTTAATTCGGGGCTCAGAACGTTTGTTCTTAATATAGAATGTGAAAATTCTACAATCAAGGGGGAAAATGTATTCTAAGTAGATAAAAAATCAGTCCCACTGTAGCATAACTCTCCAGAGAAAAGAAATAAAACTGCTTGATGCTTCAGTTTAAAAAAAAAACAACTAACAAAATATTTCCAGTTCCGGAAACTGAATTTCATTCCTAATGTAAATATAGAAGCCTCTGGAGAAGAGGATCATATTTGGAAGAAAGAAAAGCAAAGGGAACATGGGTAGGAATTTCATCATTGGCAGTGCAGCAAGGAACAAGCCAGACAAATCCACCCTTTCTTAAACAGCAGTTGCCCTTGTGAGAGAACTGAGCATTGTGCATTGAGCTCAGTGTAAAAGCCCCGGACAGTCATGTGTAAGACCCTGTGTTCCATCCCCAGTACCAAAAACAAAACAAACATGAGCATTATCTTGACTTTTTCTTCTCCCTCAATCCCCACTTCGCATCGGTCATCAAATCTTGATGGTTCCATCTCCCATGTATTCTTGGTCCTCCCTGTTTTCTCCTAGAACAGGCTGTGCATTTCTTGCTTGCTCTGTGGCCATGGCCTCTTAGTTGCCCTTAGTTCCCCTCTGTGCCCACCAGTTCTTTCTTGTAGCTACCGAGGTGACACCCGTAATACATATAAATTGAGACGCCTTGCTTCCAACATGTAAAACTTCCACTACTCATCATGACAATGAATGTCCATTGTGATGGGGATCGTGAGAAAATATAAAGGAAGGAGAGACAAGTCTTTAGGGTTTGCTGTGAGGGAACAGAAGGATGGTGGGCACATGCAAAGCAAAGTGAAGTTGAATCGTTTTTCTTTTTTCCAGTGGGATCATATCTGTAGGCTGATCAGAAATTAATGGTGTTAGAAAGAAAGGAGAAGATCATTTCCTTACCAAAATCCTCGACAGTGTGAATGATTTGGAGCATGGTGTGTTAGAAAAAGTACTTCTCTGAAATTTTACATAAAATGAATTTGTTCGTGAGGAGCTTTCTGCAAGGCCAAAGAGGTTTTTAAAGTTGACCTATACACATAGTACGCTGAATGTGACTGCTGCATAGGGTAGGGGATTTGTCCACAAGTGTTACGATTCCACTTTCCCATATCTCTGGAACTCTTAGTTTTAATAGTTTTTTCCTCAGAGTCAGCTCCCAGAATACTGACCGTGTCTTTCTTCTGTGTTTGGAGACCTCCTCTCCATCCTGCAGAGCACCACTTCGGCATTCCCACTCGCAGCGTTCCTGTATCTCCAGGGACAGAACACCCCGTGATGGCTGCATAACACTGCCTTTAGTAACTTGTCTCTTGGCCAGAATATCAGTGCGTCTAAAAGTAGGGCATCGTTTGCTTTGTTTGCCCTATACTGTATTTTAAAGCACTTTTTTGATTAGATGCCATTAAAAAAACAAAAAACACATCCCCAAACATGTAACATATCTGAAATTCCCGAAAAGTGAAGATGGATATCACTGGGTCCACATTCCAACGTGACAGTAAATAGCTGGAGCAGGCCAGCCCCACCTGTCTCTGGCTGTTTTACCCCCAGCACACTCCTCTTTTAACCACCACTGTCCCAGTGGGTGGAAGAACATGGGACTGAGCTTGCTGTAAAATCAGTCCCTGGCATGGGGGTGCTCCGTGCGTGCTCTGAACTGAACTTCCAGGCTTCGCCGTCTCGCGTGTGCATCTGTGCTCCGCTCACAGAGTCCTTGAGCAGCACGCGCCGCACCCACCCCAAAGCTCGGCGCCCTGGCACCTGCAGCCCAGTCATCCTTCCCACTGCAGCTCAGGTGCCACGTGCTTGGGTGCTTTTCCCAGCCCTTCAGATTTAATCAGATACCACTCCGGTATGTGATCCAGGATTCCAGACTTTTCCTTCGCTGCCATTATTAGTTGGTTCAATGTGCATGTGTGGCTTAATATGTTTGCTTTACTTGCACAGAAGTGCGAACAGTGAGAGTGTCCTATGTGAATCGCTGTGTCCCTCCTGGTGCAGAGGGACAGTGGCAGGGAAGCTTTACGTGGATAAATGCATGGGTGAACGGACGAATGAGAGAAAAGCATGGACAAGAGTTGGGACTTGAGGAAAGCAGAAGCCAGCACGTCAGAGGGTGCGTGCACGACAGTTTTATTCTGTGGAGGACTGTAGCGTGCTGCTTCATCCTAGCCATTCTAGTCTAGCATGATTTGAGCACGTGTGTCTTGTCTGAGACCCGGAACATCCTGAGGACAGGAGCCATTAGTTCGTTTTATTTTCCTTGTGTAATGCAGAATTTCAAAAACATATTGATGACCGGCCTTGGTTCCCTCTTTAAGAAAAGAATGGCAGTTTCGTTACTCACTGACTTGTGCATTTGCCTTGTCATGACCTCAAGCTGGGTCATATCCCACAGCCAAAGCATATCGTGTCGACAGTGCACATCGTAAGTGATCGTGCTGGTGGTGACCATGTGACATCTGTCACCTCTGGCCATCAAGCTTCTATCTGTCTAGAGCTTATTTTGCTGAGGTTTGGGGGCATTTTACAAGCATCTTTAGCCTTATCGTGTCCAGTAATTGTAAAAGTAGACGAAATATAATGTACAATTTTATGATGGAACCTAAAATGAACAAATTTCACAACGGTGCGTACTTACTGGGTATGTGTGTGATGTTCAGATCTACACGTTTTTGTCCAATAGGAAAAGTATGTTATCCACAGGAGATCAAAAAATACAAGTCATAGAAAGTTCTTAGTTCACACATGTCTCATCAATGAGCCAGGGCAATAATTAATTGGCCACTAGGCTCGGTGGGATTAATTAGCAGCTATATGTGGAGAGCTTGGTTCAGACTGGTAGCATACAGGATAGCTTTCTAGAATGACCAGCTCCTGGGTTCACAATTTAATCACTGCCGGGGTGGGGGCCTCTCCCTGTTCCATAGAACTGGGGCTCCTAGCTCTTTCGTGGGCCAGCACAGGTACGTGTACATTCAGCTGCAGCCAGCAGAGGGCAGCAATGTGCTGCGTGTGTTCAATTTGCATCCCAGATGAGCAAATCCCCAAGGACCTACAAAGAAAGTGGGTACCCCAGGACTATCCTAAATCCTTTCTTCCAGATGTCAACACTGGTCTGAGTAATTGCAAACACAGACCTACTGAGTATACTGGACTTTGGCTCTTCTGCAATAGAGAAATGAATACACAACTGGGATCTGCCATCACAGACAGGAAGTAACTTTAATTAAATATCGTGAAAGTTGAAAAGTTTTTACAGCTGAATTTTTGCAAAAAAAAAAAAAATTATAACAATCTCTACAGTAGTTAGGTTCTCTAACAATTGAACTGTACAGTGTGTGTCTATTCAAAAAGTTTTGTTAAGAAGGTGAAAGGTTAGTAGATTTAGAGATGACTTCCTTAAGCTGCATCCTAGGACAATACGAGGCCAGGGCATGTTACACGATCCAGTCATCCAGAAGTTCTGTTCTTCCCCCAAAACTGAAATCTCAATTTAATTCTCTACTTCACTTCCTTCTTAAAGCCATATTCTGTATTTAGGGCGACAAATGTTAAAGGAACTTGTGAACCTATTGTATAGAAGAAAGAGGGTGAGGGCCAGAATGTTTCCATCTAATCAATATAAATAGAAGCAACAAAACACAAATTATACATATTTTAAAGGCTCTTTGGACTTTCAAGAGGAGTTCGAACCATGGCACATGGCTAACAGATTGGTGGCATCTTTTGTCAGGGTCTGGGCCGGGACACTGCACCGGCCTGACCGTTTGTTCCTTTGCCAACAGTTAAGGGGCTCACCAGACAAAATATGGCTTTAAATTGTATACATCTTCAGGCCAGCACTTACCACACGAATTCAGACAATCTTTCTGAGTACCGAGAAGCAATGCTACACCTCGCTTACATTTTCCAGTTTATTATTATTATTATTCATTATTTCTCACCATGAAAAATCAGCTTTCAGCCCTCCCTCCCC